TATGTAATTTATTGACATGAATTGAGGTTGACCTAACCTGAGCTTATACGTGACTTTTAGTGTAGATGGACTCTGGAGATGATAGTAGCAATACTGGGTCGGCAATATATCCCTCAAGGAAGAACTGGTGGAGTTTCTTCAAGGATCAAAACTAACCTTCTCATTGGGCTTGAATGGTTTGATACTAGAATTAAGCTACCAAGTGGTGATTACTTGGTTGTGCTCTATTTCAGACCCCCTGGCCCTCTAGATTATTGATAAGCAAAGGTTTGTCAATGTTGAGATAGCCAACATTTCTAAGTTTTCAATCATATTTATGGAATTGAATTGGTTTCTCTTGGGGTCTATTGATTCTGCTTTCATTCTGTAGTTGCAGGCTCATGAAGGCTTATATATTGCAAGCTTCAAGGTAAAATTTCATTATTCCAAAATCTTTTTATTAAGCAAAGATGCACATATGAGCAGGGATATCACTTAGTCATGTTGGGTTGGGTTTAGGACCAACCCAGTCCCAATGCTAAGACTTGGGCATTGGATTTGGGCCTAGCCCAACCTAAGGTCAAAGCCTAAGTTTGCTAATCCAATCTCAATCCATAGTTTAAAAATACAAGCCTAATTGGGTCTGCTTATATATTGTATACTTATTTTCTTATTGAATTTTTATTTTATTATCAAAAGAAAACTTCTGCTATGGCATAATCTGAAAATCTGTGAAAATTTCAACTTCTAGGTATCTGGGAAAATTTCTGAGCTAAAGACTACTATTGGTTTTGGGCTGATGCATCATCAAGAAAATTTGTTAAAGATTATCAGCGATGAATACAAACGGTGGAGCTTTTTGGTCAGTTCAAACTTATTCTATTAAATGGAGTCTCTTGTTTCTTAAGGGTTATAATGTGGGAATTTCTTCCATGGAATTTTCTTCTTCCCATCTCTGTTAATTTTTTTCCATTAAGCTAAAAGAAATAGAAAGCTATTAGTGGTATTTATTAGTTGAATTCATGTTTAATACTTTTATTTTTCTTTTTGCTACAAATCAGGTATTCTTCCTTTAGATGCTCAATACTTCTCTAGTTCAACATATATCATACCCTTAATAAATCATCTATAAGTCAAAATATTTTACTAAACCCTTAATATATCATTCTTTGTTTTATGCAGATTCAGGATGCCTTACAGTAGTAGCATTTGACAGCAACTCAGAAGTTGGATCCATATTCTAGGACTTGAATATGAAGGTATCTACACTAACATATTTCCAAACAAATAAATTTATTTATGCTTTTCAAGAGATTGTTGATGCATATGGGTAAGTTGAGTCTTTCTCTACCATTAATAATGCATATGTAAATTCCATCTTTTAGGAGGTGATATGGGCTTCACATACATTTAGAGAATCATTAGATTATTCTACACTAACTCCAATCAGGTTCTTAGAAAAGGCTTTAACCGAGAACACCTCATCCTTGCTCCACCTCCATATCCTCTTCCCATTCCCAAGTGTGCTAATTGGGACTAGCCAAACACAACTTTTGCATTAAATCCATAAGTTGAGACACCACCTAATCATTTAGAGCTCTTCTGAATAGGGGATTTCACACTTTGATACCATCATGTGATGATACCCAATTAAAAGAGTCAAATTTAGAATAGTTCTTGGGTAGGGTTAGGACCTTGGAAGCCTTTTATGGGCCTCCTTGATGCATTTGATTTTAGTGAGGTTTGGGGAAGGAGCTATTAGTAGCATAACAATAAAAAGCACACTATTACAAATAACAAAATGGGATCGAGTAACTGTTGTATAGATCCATAGGACATACTTGGAAACAAAGACAAATGGAATATGAAGAATTCAGTCCCTTCTTATCTGATTTTATGACATCTTGGATAATTATCACGTTCTTGGTAACTCTATCACACATTATAGGTTCTTGACTAAAATAATGACATCATGAACAAATTATTACGTGTTTCTATAGTTGAAGATTTTTCTTTTATTTTCACAGGGATCAAAAGCTTGGAGATTTTATATTTGGTGTACCTATTACTTTGGCACTTGTAGAAAAGTTTGTTCCATTGAGAAAACTAAGAAAGTTTCCATGTAGATTTCATTCTTCATTAGCAATTTTGTTTATCTATGTGAAGTAGAAAAAGAAATACATTTATACATAGCCTATGGAATATTGTTTATCTGGAATGGAGGAATTGATATTTAGTAGTACTGTCTAGGAAGTCAGGGTTATTAATTGCCTATTGGTTAGAGCTAATTTTTAATTGATTTTTTTTTTCTTTGATGTATAACTATTTCATTCATCATTCTCAAAAGAAAAGTTATCTGATTAACATTTTAGAAGAAAATTGAGCTATATTGACGATATTGTTTTTGTAGTAATATTTCCCAAGAATTTATTTATTTAATTTTCTTTGAAGAATGTGGTCCCAGCTGCTTAAATGGGTACAAGTTCAACTTTATGGAATAAAGGCAATTGTTAACAACTTTGGGCCATATATAGCCACAGATCAAGTCCTGAAACACTGCCTGAATATTTGATATGATCTCTAGCACTTATAGTAGGGCCAAGCCAGGACAACCAGATTCAATCCTTTAACTTCTTGCAATGGTTATATTAACCTAAAGACCAAATTCCTTATATATACATAGAACTTGGAAATAGAAGACTCATTAGAAAGCCTTTGGGCTCGGCTGTCTATTGATAGCTAAGTTGACTACAACAGTCAACCAAATTGTCAAATAACAATCTTGGAGCTGCCATATAGACAAGCACATAAAAAGTAGAATGTATAAGCACTCTAAGGAATGCCCTTGTGTACTTTGTTGAAAATAGATTCCATGAGATAACTATTTCACAATCACCTTCAATAATCACTCCATCCAACTCCATCCAATTCTGTAGTGCCAAAAGTTTGAGTTCTTGAATCATAGCCATCAATTCTACCCTTAATGACACTACAAGAAAAATAGTCTAAACCGGCGGTTTAAAGCCGGCCGTCCTAAAGACCGCCGCCACAGTGACAACAAAGGTGGCGTTGCTCCCATGACCGCCACCTACAAAACTAAACGTGTAGATATGTCTTCCTTTTTTGATTCCGATTTCCTATTTGTATGGAATTTATAATTTTTTGGTATTTTTTGAGGTTTGACAGTTCGTGGATAGTTGTTTCCTTCTTTACAGCTTTTCATTATACAGAAGCTTCAATGTATTATAGTTTATCCAACCCATGGAAGCTTAAGAACCCACCTATGCCTCTTGTAACCTAGAACCTCTACAAACTAACCTATTTTCAGCCAAGTCCTAAACTTCTTGAAACCTACATCAACAAGTCCACTGTTATCCAAGTCCTAAACTCCAAATTTAAACCAACCAGTCCACTCACCTAAGTTTTTTGTACATCTTGAAACCTAATCAGACCAAGTCCACTACTCTTGCCCAGGTCCCAGACCTCCTGAAAGCCTAAATCAATGGTTTATTTGTATAGGTGAAAGCTATTTCTACGATTTCAATGGTTTATTTCCAGAATAATCATCACTAAAAGGCACAAAATAGAAATACTTTTGAGCATAATAAGCTTTTAGCAATTGCATAGTAAAACCGTTGCTATAAAAGCCATATAGCCACGTTTGTCTATTCCAATCATTGCCATAACAGTCAAAATAGCAACAGTTTTTTGTTCCAGACGTTGCTAAAAACATGATGAAATTATTGCCAAAAAAACTGTGGCACTATAAAAACATTTAGCAACGGTTTTTATTTGAAACCATTGCTTTTGTTGATTAATCAATTGCTCCATAGGATTTTTAACTACGGTTTATACTGTGGCTATATAAACCTACAGCAATGGGGCATATTGTACCGTTGCAATTGCTTTCGCAATTAGCAACGGCCAAATGAGTGGTTATATCTATATTTTCAGTCACGGTGTACATAATCCGTTGCTAAAAGCGTTAGCCACGGAAATATCCCCTACGAACAAAAAACCGTGGCCAACTGTTGCAAAAGGTTTTTGGCAACGGTTTTGTCTGTTGCTAGATACCATTTTTCTTGTAGTTTTTCATCGATATATCCAAGTAACTTGTGCCCCTTCAATGCTGGAAACAGTTTGAAGTGTTCACAAAAGATAATTGTGACTGTCAAGCCGCACAGCAATAAGATTCATAAAACTAGAGAGTGAAACAACAATTGTTGGGGCCGGCTGATGAAGACGACTCAATTTGAGTCTCAGTACTGCTAGAGTTTTCTAAAAGAGAGGGATATATCCGGTGCTCTGATGCCATAAACGGTTATGGATGAATATGAATTCAGCCTTGAAAGTCTACGTACTGATTCTGTTTGTATTTATAATAATTTTATGTACATGATAAAGGGATAAATACAACAATTTGAAAATTTAAAAAGAGGCTACAACAGAATATATTTATCAAAGAAACTGATTATATATATAATATGTGGCAATCTTATGAGAATCTGGACTTTGATGTGTGAGTTGCGTGAGGTCCTTATCTCTAAAAAAGGGCACATGAACATTGAACATACATGTTTTATTTGAACAAAACAATTTTGGGATAAACCAAGGGCCCAGTGAATTAAGCACCATGAAGTGGGACTGGTCTTGTGTAGTTAATTAGTTCATGCTGCCTAAGGCAAAATAATGCATGTGTCAATGTTGACTAAAATATTATTTTTCGTTCATTATTATTATTATCATCATCATCATCATCATCATTTTTTGCTGCCACTAATTAGATTTAAGCATAAAAGAATGATGACATCAAGGGAGAGAGAGTCAATTCAGTCTGAGATAACCCACCTTATCCCAACTATATGGTTGGCTACATGAATTGTGTTTCACCAATCCATTCTACTTAAAGCTATATCCACAATAATTTCCTACTTATATGCTTGACAGAGTGAATCCAAATTTTTCTTAAGAGATTACCCAAACACACAAACGCTTGATGAAGAAACGGCACTGATATCAAACACAACTTTATTCTTTCTACAATCAATTGATTGTATGTCATGGAAGGAAGTTTGTACATGGCAAGGTGATTTCTAATAGAACCCACTCAGTCTAGCTGTAGATTCTAATAAATACAGAGAATTAATGGAAGGTATTCCATGAATTGAACACTTTTTTAGTTATTGCAAGCAAAACAAGCAAACATTTTGTGGACGAAAGACTTTGACTTGGGAGGTGGTTGTTCGACTACTGGAGTTGAATTCTTCGAAGGCGGTAGTGAAGGTAACACAATAATCTCAGATTCATCAGCCCCGTTCTTCTTGGCTTTCTCACATCCTTCTAAGAATTTCTTGAAGGCGTCTTTGCAGTAACTGACGGCATCTTTAACCGTCATCTTCTCGACAAGCTTGTTTGGATAAATGTCCTTTCTATGGTCCCCTTTCAGTGCAGCTGCCAACTGCACCAACTCCACTTGAAACTCACTTAGCTTTGCTCCTTCATTTGCATCACCTGATCGCAATTTCCGGGGCTGTGGCAGAGTCACTGCATATTGCATGCATTTTGTTAGATAATATCAATCTATTCAAGGACATCACCTAATAGATTAAGCTTTTAGGTTGAATGGTTCTTTGAGATGGTCAGAACCACTCCTTGTTATCCCATTATAATTAATTAAGTTTCAACACAAAATACAGGCTTGTTCATACTTCAAGCCCAATGGTCTTTTGTGTGAGGGGGCGTGTTAGAGAACATCAACCTATTCAAGGACTTCACCTAAGAGTCTGGATTTCTTGCCCACGTTTATTGCAGTCATGCATGGAGAACATCTCATCCTCTGCAATAATATATGCAGGGGGAGATGTTCCCAATTCACGCGGGATAGTGTATTGTGGGTAGGTGTGGGCTGGAGATCCAGTTCCCTCACCTAACAGCTTAAGCTTTTAGGTTGAAGTCCTTGCATAGATTGATATTCTCTAACACATTTAGTTCAGGATTACTTGGAAAAAAAAGCATTAATGTGTTTCTACATAATGTAGTATGGTTGTAAGTAGATCATCAGTGGAATAAGTTCACCTGGGCAGTCTGTTCTTGGACTCTCCCTCGTCAATACAGTCTCAAAAGTTCCAGCCCATGCATCACGCTTTGTCAGAAACTCTTTCAGATTGAAAATCTTCTTCACTGTTGCTGGAATGGAAGAGTGTTCGAACTCTGAAGAAGGATATGGTCCTGAAGGTCTGTGCAACACTGCAATTACATCGCCAAGAGATCAGTTAATTGTGTTTTAAATACAACTAATAATCCATGCATTTGCTTCAAATTTAAGCAAAGTTTCTCTTATATACCACCTGTTCCTCGCTCAATCCATGGAGAAATGAAGATGGCAGGCACCCGAACGCCGAGGCGATCAAACTTAAAGTAAAATGGCCCAGGACTTGCAATGTCATCTGGGCTTGGGACTCCAGTAGGAGTTGGGACATGGTCATAGAATCCGCCATGCTCGTCGTATGTGATTATGAATAAGATTTCATTCCACTGTGGACTTGCTCTCAGTGCCTCATAAACCTCCTTCACAAATTTCTGTCCCTCTGATACATCGTGTGAGGGATGATCATCATTCCCTGGCAACAATTTTAAATCAAAATATCGTTGTTCTACCACCACATAGTTAGGCAACTTCCCCTCTTTGCAGTGACTCTTGAAATTCATATCAAACTGGTGGAAATTCTTTATGTACTTCAGTTTTCTAAGGTTCCTGTCAAGTGTCAACTATGAACTAATTAATATTTGATTACTAAAACACAAAATAAGAAATTGAGTTAAAAGCTCATTTGAGTCATAGCTACGATTCGTGTCAAGGCATCTAAGAAATTGAAATTGAACAAAAATTTTTTCCATTACCCCACCGGGGAAATGAATTATAACTCATCATTTGGAAATTTCTTAATTTTTCTTATACATAGAATTAATTCTTTTAATTTTTATTTGTTAATTTTATTTCATTCTGAGGATGCTTCCATCCTAGTGGAATTCCTATTTCATCCTCACAGTCATTGCATTCGTGCATTGAGAATATATGCCCATGAATAGAAACATACCAGTAAAAAGATGTTCCAAATGCAGGGCTGCACATATCTGTGAATGTGGATTTCAACTTCCATAGATATGAAACAAGTTAAGGCCATGTTTGGTTAACTCTCATACTCATTCTTACCCAAGATGATGTTCTAATTAAAATGGACAAGATGGGTAAAATGAGAAAATATTGCTATGAACTAAACACTTTTTTCTTAAAAAATAAATTATTTTCAAATCGCAAGTGCCCTATGTTGCCAATTTTTATTCGAAAAGAATAAAAAAAACTATGTTAGTGATCATAAAACACTGGCCTAGGTCTCCAAAGTTGTTAGCATAGATGTTTACTAGTGGATGGCCGACAGTCAATGCCCGTTGGCATAACTTTCTAAGGCAGTCCACCAATAAATATTTATGGTGATAGTTTTATAGACCTATACTGGCATAAATTTCCTTTAAAGAATGAAAATGAACAACATGGGACATGATTACTTTTCATGCTGCAAGATACCTCAATTTTTATACTATGGGCTGATTTTCATTCGAAAAGGAATGAGACCCATGGAAAGAATTTTGTAACAAGTAAGAATTAAAATAATGAAACTCAGAACAACCAACCAAATATGGCTTTTAATCAAAGCATCATTTTAAGCAATTAGACAAAAGTCTGGATCTAGTCCCACACCCTATCTACCCACAAGACACTACAACAACATATTGAGATCCGATCTTCTATCCACAAGCCTATTCACAAGACTCTACAGCTGTACATTGGGAACGAGTCGAAATCTGCTACACACAAGCCTGCCAGATGTTCTTGATGTCCATCTGTTGTGTCTTGTGGGTATGTGTGGTTTGTATCTTCACCAATAACAAATCTAACTTCATTAAGAACATTTCGCATCAAAACAACATACCAAGTACATGAGAAATATTCCCAATGTGTGGTTGTTGTTTCTTGTGTGTAGTGTGTGGGTAGTAGATACGAGCTCATTAGATAATTGGACTTAGTATTCTTAAGAGAATCTCTTAAATTCTTAAAGCAATGGCAAAACATGGATTGTGGTGTGGAGCACTATTGCTATTTTTATCTGCTTTTGGTTTTGTCATCACCAATCTTAGCAATTAGGCACATGGCTAAGAATTTCAGGATGAAAAAAAATACCCATTTTGTTTGTAATTTGTTGTATGATTTGCAAATTTATGTATATATGTAAATATTGATATATCTAAATCAAAACAATTAATAAATAATAAAACAGAAAAGAATATATTTTGACACCCTAGATATCCACTTTTTAATAAATAAAGTTAACACACTTCTATATTTTCTAGAAGAAATTTCAGGTTTCCACTTGCTTGAATTTGGACATATGGCTTGCCCCTTTGCTAACAAGCAATCTCTTTTAGACTTCCTACTTTGTTCAAGTCTCAAGGAATCCTTGGGTGGTTTATATCTATCTACATACCACAGGGACCTTCACATGATGAGACTTCGCCAAACCATTGGGAATTAGGTAAACTAGATTCCATTCTATTGTATATAACAAACAAACCAACGAACAAAGAGGAAGATAAATATTGAAAGAGAGGAAGCTTCCATGAGCGAAGTGAAGGGACCCATGATGCATTAAAATCCAAAAGGTGATCAAACTGGTGAAAGAAGCTAAGCTCAGAGGCCAAACAGATTAAAATGGAAAGTAGGCTCTCACCTGTAGAAAAGCGTAGAAGGAGGATACTGATAATATATCCCGAAAGAGAACCCAGCCTCATCCAGTGACTCGAATATCGTCTTCTGTGGGGAACCTTCGATCAGCCTCTTCGTGTCATTGCTGATTAAACCATGCGAAGTTGCAGAATGCACAAAAAGCCTGTTTGGCTGTGTTGAAGAGGGGACTGAAGCGAACCAGTGGTCACACACAGCAAACTGCGAAACCAGTTCCCTGTAAACTGGTACGGCTTCGGGTCTAAAACCATTGATGACTGTGTCCGACATACCCTTCTGTGTGTTCTCTGCATTCTGAGCAAACCCATTCATCTTCACAGCCTGCTCACGCGAAGAAGACTGTCCCCAAGGTATGCCAAAGACCTGTTCGTAAATGTCCTGGAACGAGTGACCTGGGTCAGGGTCTACGTACTCAGACTGGTCCCCAAAGTAAACCTTCTTTGAATTGGGATCGGTCGTGGAGAGTGAGTTATAGAATTCGTCTCCTGATGAAACGCCATTAATTTCTGGGTTAAGGATCTTCATCCATCCCAGAATATGATCCAAGGAACGGTTTTCTTGGACCAAAAGCACCACGGTTTTGATGGGACAGGGCCTGGTGGCTTCGGAAGGCATGGTTTGGCTTCTATTTCGTTGGGTTTAGGCTTCTTGTTGTTGAATGGTGGGAAATGGATGAAGATGAAGAGTAGCTTGAGCAGTATTTAAAGACGTTTTTGTGACGCAGAAAACGAAGCGTAGAAGGGAAGTAAGAAGAGAAGAGAGATGAGAAGAGTTTTGTAAGTTAAAGAGTCTCGTTTTTAGGCAATTTCTTTTACTTGTTTGGTTGGGCACATAAGAGAGGATGTAGGGATATAGTTTGGCAGATTTCGTTCAGTTAAGAGAGAATATATGGAAGAATCTGACGATCTCAGCCACCCAATCTGATTCTAATTAACCAGAACAGGATGGAAACGAATTGCCACATCTAACAGTTTCACCGTTTTGATCATTTCATGTGCTTAGGTTAGGTCAATTCAGTGAGATTATTACGTAAGGATCATATATACAATGAAAACAAAAGAAGAAAAAAGGTTTTTATACTTGTTTGGATGGCTTATAGGATTTTGGAAAATGATTATTTATGTTATATATAAGCTAATTAAAGCCACCTGGAAAATCATATAATAACCAATATATAGGGAGAGCAGGGAGCTAAATCTCTCTGTCTCTCTCTCTCTCTCTTTCAATGGAGAAGAAGGGGGGGAGAAGAGGGCGCTAGAGCTACGTTAGCTTGGGGATGGCACCATGATAGTCAGCGAAAATAATAGAATAATCCAGTTGGAGCAATATATAAGACGTGACTCATTTAATTTTGACCCCTCCAACGAATCTGTCGCTTGATGATTTCCTCATGTAAGCTCATGCCACGTTGTCTGCGTGTAAATTTAATGCATCAAACTTGCTTGTGTCATGTTCGCTATTAGATATTGTACTTTGTGATATACGCATGGCATATGCTTATATGCTCTTTCAATCATCCCCTAGCATTAATTCTTTATATTGCAGATACTGTGTTTGTCACTATCAATGAATAGTGCCGCCCATAGATGAGTATATAACTCTGTCTCTCCCTGTTTCCCTCCCTGTCAAGTAATATCTCTCTTCTTCATCTATGACTTGATAGTTTCACTTTTGGCCTGTCTAGAAAAAATGAAAACCTAAAAATAACAAAATGACTTCGGAGATAAGCATCTGTGATTCCTTAGTTTACAGGTTTCACTTCTAATGACATCAGAAGAAACTTTAGATTTCTCATCTATTCATCCCCATCTCTGAATAGAACTCTTGGGGTTGCAGAGTATAGTGCAAAATCCACTTTGATTTAACCCTCAAGTTTGATGGCAATTCTCTAGGCAACCCACGCCCAGCTGGAATTGGAGAAATTTTCTCTTCTCTGATGGGCAATATTACTTGGGTTTACCGAAGACCAATAACGGAGGCCATCCACTAAAGCAGAACTCTCACAGCTCTCAGAGCTTTAAAATTAGCCCAGCAGCTCGGATGCTATCATTTTCATGTGGTTGGTGACTAATAAATTAAAACCATACATTGGCTGTGTCGTGAGAGGGAAGGGCTGTGGATCTTGAATCACTTGCTTTCGGAGGCAAGGAACCTTGCTAGACAGCTCCATGTGAATTTTAATTAGATCAAGAGACTTCAATACTACAGCAGATAACTTGGAGTTTTTATATCCTTTTTTTGTATAGCAAAGATAAAGAAAATAAGAAGACACAGTAGAGAAAGCTCGAGATGAATGGGTAAACGGTTTGATAATGGTTTGATCGAACCTTGAACTATTTATAGATGAAAAGATTGAGTACAACTGTTAAAGTTTGAGTTTATGTACAACACTCAAGCTTAAGAGGTTAGTTTAAGTTACAACAAAACTCCATCAGATAGAGTTTAACAGGATAAGGATGAGGAAGCAATTAGACCTTAAGTAAAAGATTTATTGCATGTAAGGACCATGCAATGAAATTTATCATGAAGTTCATCGCAAGTCTCTAATACGCCCCCTCAAGTGAAATGTCTAGGAAGGACATGAAGCTTGGATCGAAGAGAAGTAAATCGAGTTCCGGTGAGTGGTTTAGTTAGTAGGTCTGACACTTGATCATCTGAGGAAATAAATTGAACAGAAAAGGACCGCTTGAGAACAAGATCTCGTAAGAAGTGAAAATCAACTTCAACATGTCTAGTACGAGCATGAAAGACTAGGTACGCAGCAAGATATGTGGTGCCAATGTTGTCACACCAAACCACAGGAATGCGTGTAGGAGGTTGTCTTAGATCAAGCAATAAGGAGTGTATCCAAAGAAGCTTGGTTGCAGCATTGGCACAAGCTCGAAATTCTAACTTTATGCTGGAGCGAGCAATAGTGGCTTGCTTCTTGGAGCTTCAAGCAACTAGATTGCAGCCCAGATAAATGAGATAGCCCCCAGTAGAACATCTGTCATTAGGACAGCTAGCCCAATCAGCATCGAAGAAAGCTTGAAGGGTTAGCGGAGCCGATGTGGAATAAAAATGCAAACCATGATGAGCAGTATGCTTAAGATATCGAAGTATCTGCTTGACAACAATCTAGGGTTCTATCGTTTGGAGAGTGGAGAAACTAACACACCTTGTTCATAGAGAAAGAAATGTCGGGCCTCGTGATGATAACATATTGAAGAGTGCCAACAATGGTTCGATACTCAGAAGGATCAGGCAGAGGATCGCCAATAAATCTGGAGAGCTTAGTAGTGATAGCCATATTGAGAGGTTTAGCTTCAGCCAAGTTGGTGCGATATAAAAGGTCCAAGATGTATCGTTGTTTAGTAAGGATGATGCCATTAGACTGAGGTGTAATCTTCATGCCAAGGAAGTATCGAGCTGGACCAAGATCCTTTAAGGAGAAACCATGACCCAATGTGGTAATCAGATCATCAAGAGTAGAGGAGGAGGAACCAGTGAGAAGAATGTCATCGACATAGACCAACATATATAGAGTGACTAAATCCTTGTGATAAATAAACAATGAAGGATCAGCTGCTGATATATGAAAGCCAAGCTGAACAAGATGAGTATTGAGGCGAGAGTACCATGAACGTGGGGCCTATTGAAGGCCCTAGAGAGCCTTGTTATGTTTGTAAACATACGAGGGGGAAGCCAGATCTTCAAAACCCTTAGGTTGACGAACATAGGTCTCCTTTGATACATAACCATTGAGGAAGGCATTATCAAAGTCTAACTGCCAAAGTGGCCAATCAAAAGAAACGGCGAGAGCAAGAATGGTGCAAATGGTGATTGGTTTAACCACCGGACTAAAGGTGTTAGTGAAGTCAACACCTGGAACCTAGTTGAACCCTTGTGCAACAAGACGAGCTTTGTAATGATTAACAGAACCGTTAACCCATCGTTTTACTTTATAAAACCATTTGGTGACTATGACATTCATGTGTGATTGATGTGGGACAAGCATCCAAGTTTGGTTATTTACAAGAGTGTTGACTTCACGGGTAGCTTCGCGCCAAGCGGGATCATTATATGCCTTAGAGAAACAGGATGGTTCAGTAGCAGTATCTGACAGTTCGGCTAGGAGAGCTCTAGGAACGGGATAACGAGATGCACCGTTGGATCGTAAGGGAAGAGAATTGGTTTGAGATCAAGTAAGCATATGGTGTTGATAGGTAGTCAGTGCGGTGGCATCAAGTAAATCTTATATTAGACGAGTGCCATACGGTGGCGGAGGAGAAGGCGATGACGTCAAAGTAGTTGATGGAGGGGCCGGTGATGGTGTCGGGGATGAAGAAAAAGGAGCTGATAATGGTGCTAGAGAAGGTGGATCCAGTGGATCAGTTGGTCATGCTTCCTACGAAGATGAGCTTGGAGACACATGAATAGTCACACCAGTATGATTCAATGAACCAACCAGCGGAGAGGGGGTTATGCCGAGGAAGAAGCTCTCATCGAACACCACATGGCGAGCAATATATAACTGTCGAAAGGAAGGATGGAAACACTTATATCCTTTGTGGGAGTCACTGTAGCTGACGAATATGCACCGAAGAGATTTGTAAGAAAATTTGTTGTGGTTGTATGGCCGGAGAAGAGGGTAGCAAGAGCTGCCAAATGTGCGAAGTAAATTATATTCAAGTGTCTTACCAAACAAGGTGGTGAAGGAAGAAGCTCATTTTAACAACGATGTAGGAAGCTGATTAATCAAGTAGACGGCAATGGAGGCAGCACCGTCCCAAAAGGAATACAGAAAATTGGAGGAAGCCAGTAGAGACAGGGTAGACTCGATGATGTGTCTATGTTTTTGTTCAGCAACACCGTTCTATTCATGAGTGTGAGGACAAGCAAGTCGATGAATGATGTTGTGAGCAGCCAGAATGGTGGACACATGTCGATACTCTCCTCCCCAATCAGATTGTAGACATTTAATTTTTCTTTCAAACAAAACCTCTACATGACTCTTGAATTTAAGAAAAATCTCATAAACATCAGATTTATTTCGCATCAGGAACAATCAACTTACTATAATCATCAACAAAAATTACATAATATTTGTAACCATTATTTGACTGAACCGGGGCAGGACCCCAAACATCTGAATTAATTAATTCTAAGGGACTACTAGACTCACTATTTGAAGAAGGAAGGTGTAACCTATGACTTTTACCTAACTGACATGCCTCATAGACAAAAGAAACATTGATGGTTGAGAATGGTAACCCAAACTTGGATATGACTTGCCTTATGATGCGAATGGCAGGATGTCCTAACCTTTGATGCCAACCATTTATTGTAGTGCATTCACCGACAAAAGCAACTGGAGAAGTGTTCTTGATGCCGAGACTACTCGGGAAGCAATAAAGCCTGTCTCTACTAGGTCCTCAAAGTATTGTTCTCCCCATATAATCCTTCAAAAAAAAATAATCACGATGGAATTCAAAATAGATATCATTATCGCGAGTGAATTTGCTAACAAATAACAATTTTTTTGAAATAGTAGGTACATGCATTAAATCATTCAATAGAAAAGAGAGTTATGAGAGGCAATAGAAGAACTGATGTGAGCAATTGGCAGACCTGTTCTGTTGCCTACTTTGACTTGATTCGAACCACCATATTCAGACCGATTTTGCAAATTTTCAGCACTGGGTGTCATGTGATGTGTGGCATCGGAGTAAATTCTTCTGTTTGTACATTGTTAAAGTTGAGATCATACCGTCTGCGACATTTCAGTGCTCCATGCCCAAGGGTGTTGCAAACTTGACAAATAATAGTGGAACAACCACGGCCTCTGTCTCCATTATCATTGAAACGACTACCG